GGGACTCGATCCCAGGACCCTGGGATCATGACCTGAGCCGAAGGCAGTCGCTTAACCAACTGAGCCACCCAGGCGCCCTAGCATGGTATTTTAAAAGCACATACATTAATAATGCTTATTATATCCTAGGCTTAACCAGCTGAGCCACCCAGGTGCCACTATTGTCTCCTAGGACATAGGATATGATAGGGACAACCCACAAAGCTGGCCTCTTGGTTCTATGAAGATTTCAGCTATGTTTACATTTTGTTCCTCTAAAAAAGTTTTGAAAATTGAGCATCTTAAATTACACAAAATAATTTTTGTATACTGTAAGATATTTGGAAAATACAAAAAGTGGGAAGAGAAAAAAATTAATATTGCCTGTATTCTACAACCAAAAATAATCACTAAAACCCACTAATAGTATATTTTTAATATTTTTTTGTGTTCTATCTACGTATGTGTGTATATTATATAAAGTTGGAATTCTCTATTTATATAGTATTACATCCTAATTTTTATTATTGTATTGTGATCATTTTACCATGTCTTTCTTTAAACACAATTTTTAATGGTTGATAGTATTCCATTGTATATGTATATATACTACATATACTATAAAATATCAAACTATTCCTTTATAGGACATGTTGTTTTATATGTAATTACATGTGGCCTTCATTTGACAAAAAAACTATCTCTTTCTAACAAAATTTGCTATATAGTAGTTTTGTAAGGTAATTACACATTTTTCTTTCATTATCCATGTAATGTCTTCCACTGGAACCCAGAATGAGAAAAGGATGTAGTAAAAATGTTTAAATCATGTTCTTACAGGGAAAGTGACAGTATCCTGATACTGATTGCACTACTGAAAGTATTAACATTGCCATTTAAATATGATCCATAATATTGTTAGATCCTAAGTACAAAATAAAGTGATGAAACTGGAAATATAAACTTAGAACCATAAACTCTAGAAGTATAATTGTTTCCATATATTGTCCCATGTACTTATCTTAACTGAAATTAGTACTCTCCAAATTATAATGTAAGAAATTGGCTAAATGTTTTATTATCAAGCATCTTTGTACTTACAACTTTATATTAAAGGTCATTCTTTTATGCTTAGTTTTCCCAACCACTTGGTTTTATTGATATCTTTCCAGATTTGTTTCTGTTAGTAATTGTATAATTTATTAGTGTATTTTTGGGTGTTATATGTGTAAATCAATACATATTTTTAAAACATCTGTTATAAAGATAAGGAATGAAAATCCAAATCTTTTACCATGATCCCTTTTTCCCCATGTTTATGTTGCGGACAGAGCTGAGAAATGACTAGGAGACTGTGCCTTAGTAAGCCTGAATTCTTCTTTTAGGAAATGATCAGATAGAGGTGGTTCAGGAGGGGAAGCCAGGTAATGGACATAAGATCAAAGACCTATGAGATTTTTTTAATGAGTTGTTCTCAACACAAAATTTATTTCCACTCAGGCTAAGTAAACCAAATGTGTGGCTTGTCATTCTGTTTGGTGAGGACTGAGTTACTTACAAAACATGTCTCTCCACAGTCCTTACTGGGACACATCAAACCAGGTCCTCAATTCACTTTTTGTTTTTGGCTTTGCATTTAGGAAAAAAAGGACATGAAAATAAGACAAGCTAGGGGTGCCTGGGTGGCTCAATCAGTTGCATGCGTCTGCCTTCTGCTCAGGTCATGATCCCAGGGTCCTAGGATCGAGCCCCATTTCAGGCTCCCTGCTCATCAGGGAGCCTGCTTCTCCCTCTCCCTCTGCCTGTTCTCTCTCTCTCTCTCTAGTGCTCTCTCTCTCAAATTAAAAAAAAAAATCTTAAAAAAAAGTAAGACAAGCTAGAACCAAAGAGGAAAGACTGAAAGAACATATACTAAAGTGTTAACAGCAGATTTATGGTGGGATTATGAATGACATTAATATTCTTTTCTGTATTTTCTGCATTTTTATAAGAAATGTGTATTAATTTAGGGGTGACTGGCTGGCTCAGTTGGTAGAGCATGTGACTCTTGATCTCTCAGGGTTGTAAATTCAAGCCCACATTGGGTATGGAGCCTACTTAAAATTTAAAAAAAAAGGAAATGTGTGTTAGTTTTATAATCACAAAATATGTTTAGAAAAGATTTATTTAAAAAATTTTTTGACTAAATCCTGTTTATTTGGAAATCAGTACCTTATCTGCACATTCTTTACTGCATCACCCACAGTACTATATAATGAGAAGTGTTCCCAGAAATGGTTCCATGAACATAGTAAGATTCTTTTTTTTTTTTTTTAAGATTTTATTTATTTATTTGACAGAGAGAGAGACAGCGAGAGAGGGAACACAAGCAGGGGGAGTGGGAGAGGGAGAAGCAGGCTTCCCGCCAAGCAGGGAGCCCGATGCGGGGCTGGATCCCAGGACTCTGGGATCATGACCTGAGCTGAAGGCAGACGCTTAATGACTGAGCCACCCAGGCGCCCCAACATAGTAAGATTCTTAAGCATCTAACATTAGTTGTATTTACTCTACTTCCTAAGGAAAGTGGATTAATACAATTGTGTGTGGTGGGCAGGAAGGGAAGGAGATGGAGAGTTGAGGGAATGTGCATTGCAGATTCATCTGCACAACTTACAAAAAATATACATGACTGTTTTCCTGGTGTATTTTCTGTTTCCTTCCCCTGGCTGGTGGGGTCAATGGTGGTGGGCAGGGTGTGACCCTTGCATATGTATTTTGAAAAATCTTGGATTTTTGTGATATACCCTTTGTCAACCCCTCCCTCCCCCAAGAGAACCACTGCACTAGCATCATGATTAATCAAGGTTTACTACAGCTATGAGTTTTGAAATGGTTTTGCCATGCATTAGTTTTTATACCCAAGTATAGCATGTCACAGAAGTTCAGATGTAGGAAACTCTTTCATGAATCTCCTTTGTGAGAAGGCAGTGCTTGTCTCTTTAATGTTGTATGACTTGGTCCCTAGTGAAGAGCTGTGGTCCATTACCCCCAGTATAGTGCATAAACAGGCTGTTGTTATTTCTAAGGATCTCATAAAGGGACTCCCTACCTTGCTCCCCTTTCAAATGAAAGGAACCTTATACGTTCTTAGGGCAACTGTCAAGCAATGAATACTTTGATTAATTTTTATCTACAGATCCAAGAACTAAACAGTCTCTTGGGATCTTCAGAGGATTTGTGCCAATGAGAATTTGACAAAAGGTCAGCAAGTTCTACACATTTTTAAAGAAAGGGTATGTGGTGCCTTAATTATTTCTGAACAGCAGATATTTTTCATGTTTTATTTCTCAATTTTAACTTTTGTTTTTACTTAAAATATTGAATTTAAAGTTGACTATTTTCATAGATTCAGACATCATATTTATATTTTTCAAGGCTTGATGTTAAATTAACTGAAGAGTTAACCAGTTCTCTTTCTCTAAGAAAATTATATTAATATAATATAAATGTATACCCAGTGATTTGGACACTAGTATCAGTCTGTCTCTGTATTTAGGTTTGAGACAAACAGGATTTCCATTTAGATCCATTTTCCACAGCTTCATCAACTTGTTCAGTAGAAATTCCAAATCCTATAATTAGAGAAGAAAAAGCAAGACACAAGTATTTCATAATCATCAATATTTCTTTCATATCAGTTAACTTTTTAAAGGTAATTACTGCTTTCTAGCTCTAATTACTGCTTTTCTAGGTACTTAGAAGGTGTACCATAAATCTTTTTTGAATAAAATGGTCTACTATACTACTAATCGATCTTGTACACATCTAGGTGAATAACTTTTCTTTAGAATAAGGTGGTAAGAATTACAAAGTTAATGAAAATTCTGAAGAATAGCAACAGGCAAACACCTATGATTCTTCCCTTTGTTCTCCTCAAGCCAAGACCAAAATTATAGGATATAAGGGAAAATTAAGAAATACAAAGTATAGATTAATTCATACGTGTTCTTAATTACAAAGTTAAAAGTAATTGGCAATGCATTACTTGGTATTTTTATTCCTGGTATCATTTCCTCACCTTCAAAGCTTGATACTTTTCAGCCTTGTATATCTATTAACCTTTTTGTACTTTCCATCTTATTCTTTCCTTGATCCATGTTTCTTGTTACTTAGATATTTCATTTTTCCATTTTTGGAAAACTTTCTTTTGATAAGACTGCATTTATTCTTTAGATTTTAGAAAATCATTTTTTTTTTGGTTTGTTTATTTTTGGTTTTTAGAGGGGGCAGGGGTAGAGGGAGAGAGAGAATCTTAAGCAGTCTCCACACCCAGCATGGAGCTCAGTGCCGGCCTTGATCTCATAACCCTGAGATCATGACCTGAGCCTAAGTCGAGTTGGAAGCTTAACCGACTGAGTCACCTAGGCGTAGGCGCCCCAGAAAATCATTTTGTTTTGTTTTTTTTACTATGAACGGGTGACAACAGTTCCATTCCACGTATTAAAAATCCCCACAAGGAGCACCTAGCTGGCTCAGTTAGTGGAGCATGTGACTCTTGATCTCAGGGTAGTGAGCTCAAGCCCCATGTTGGATGTAGAACTTACGTGGAAAAAAAATCCCCACAAAAACTCTTTCATATCATGGAGGTAACAAATTTGGAACATCCAGCTATATGCCTCTATCTACATGAAGGAATGGTATTTTAGGGGAATAATTACAAGGACAGCTGGGTGGGTGTCTAGGACCCACTGCAGAGCACCTGGTATTTCTCTTAATCTTCTTGAGACCAATATCTTCTTGTGTAAAATGGTAAAAATATTTCCAGTTCTACCTACTTCATTATTCAACAAAATACTTACTGAATCATGGGCTGAGTTCTGTACTAGACTCTGAGGTATCCAAATAAATAATTTGTGAAAAAAATATACGAGTTTTTTTTTTTTTTAAATAGACAACCCCAACCTTCCTGGCACTGCAGCTTACTGTATGACCTTAGGCAAGTCTGTGTTCTCATTATAAAGTGTGAATAGTTAGGATTAGTTGTTGTGGCACATAAAGTGCCTGGAACAAAGCAGAAATAATATGTTAATTCTCTGTCTTGTCTGCCCTACCACCCCTCAGCTAATAACTTTTCTCTTAATTTTGGTCAATAGAGAACAAAAATTGTAAGGAAGAATAAACTTCTGACTAGTAGTTGATGTCTTATAGGAAAGCTGTCTTCAAAAGTTGTAGCTTCATCTTTCAGCCTTGGGCCCTGGATTATTTCCTCTTCACAGCATTTGTTTAACAGCATTTGATACAGCCCCATGATTATTTTATGTGAGAGTTTCACTGTATTTCTCTTAGTCTAAAAGCTTCTAAGGAAGGAACTGTGCATTGTATTTTTGTAGTGTTGAATATGATGCCCATCATCCAAAAGTTAAGTAATAACAATAATAAGAAAACTTAAAATTTATATAGATAAAAAGAATCCTGTAGAGTTTTGTTAATTGTTCCTTACTTGATAAATGACCCGTGACATACTCCCTCCAGTGTATGTTTATTTAAGACTAAACTAATCCTGTGCTGAAATATGATTACCCTTTGGATACGCTCTGGTAGTTCATTGCCTTCCTGTCTTTAATAAAATGCTTTCGCTTTCCTGCCCTTCAGTGTTAACTGAAGGGAGCAGACACTTTTCTGGACAGTCTCTGTTTGATAAATGATCATGTCATGCTATCACTTAGAGGAGAGCTGCAAAATACTGAGGAACCGATTCTTTTTCCCATGCAGGGCTGGTGCCCGAGCTCCTGTGTAGGCGCCTGCAGTAACTGGCAGTGCTTGCTCTACAATTAATGATGGCCACTGATGAACCTGTATTTGACCAGCATGCTCCAATCTTTATCGGAAATGTCTGGTCCAACTGTCTTAACTAAATCTAAAGACAGCCATTTGTCATCCCCCTGACTGCTTGTCATCATCTGCCTGGGAAAATCTATAATTTTTGGCTTGTTTCTGACTAAACTGTGGAGTGAATAAATTTATCTTTGGGTTACTCTGCTTGTCAGGATCAATATTGAGCAGAAGTTGAATAAATCAGAAACTGGAAAAACATGACAGGCCATGGTGGTTTGTTCATTTGTGTCTTATAAATCAAATATTTAGTTTATCTTAAGAGGCAGGCACATCAAATTTTTTATTTACACCATTCATTCTGAAGATGCTCTACTTCATGATAAATGGTCATCAGAAAACCAATGAAGTAAATCACTAATACATCTCACTGTGAGATGAACTTTTCAGATTATTTTATTGATTTAGCAAACTTTGCAGACATAAAAATTATAGGTAAAGATTTTTTTAATATTACTATTCTTTCAAGTTTTTATACATTTTTGCAACCATGATGTTTATTTGCCTTAATATGTCATCAAGGTATATAATGTTGGCCCTAGTGGAGTTCATGTCTCATCAACTACTTATAGAAATGGAAGTTTTATTGTAAATGGCCAGTGAAGTTTTAATATTTTATTTTATTTTATTATTATTATTTTTAATTTTTTATTTA